TTTTATTAACAGCAATGCACAATTTAAGAAAAAATAGCTTAGGTACTATTAGTCTCTTAGGGTAGCATAACAAGATGCCCCAGACTGGGCAGTGTAAACCACACAAATTTACAATTCCAGAGATCAAGTTGTCAGCAAGCTGGGTTTCCTATCATCTCTCAAGTTGTACGTGACTATCTTCTGCCCGTGTCCTCATATGTCATCCCTCTGTGTGTGCTCATCCGCCCTCTTCTGAGGACGCCAGCTGTATCCAATTAGACCCACCCATGTGAGCGCATTTTAACTTAGGGCCTTCAGAGAGACAGCTGACTCCAAATACGGCCACATGCTGAGGCACTGGGGGTTCAGACTTCAGCATAAGAATCTGGGAGACACTCAGCCCACGGTGAGCACTAATCTAGAACAGAAGTATGACGTGCTCTTATTTCAGAGGACACCTGAGGCTCAGGTACGCGGACACCAAGAAGGGCTAAAAGAGCACATGCACCCGTGCGCATGCGTGCGCGCGCGCGCGCGCGCACGCACACACACACACACACACACACACACACACACACACCCTGTAGCAGTTCTAGATCCTGGCAGATAAACACAGGGCCCACTCTCCTGCAGGAAAGAGACCCTCCTTCAGCGAGCCAGGACCCAGAGTCACCAGCTAGAGCAGCTCCAGACCTTCCTGCAGGATTCCCTTGAGGTACCTTTGCTGCATCAGGTGTGGTTGTAGGTGGGAGAAGGCGTCACCCCAAGGAAAGGGCACCCCAGAGTTTATGGGGATGGGAGAGCTCCAGGCAGCAAAACTCAATCTTCCCCAGGTGGTCACATGGCTGAGGAAGAAGAATTTGGTGGCTCTGGAAGAGGGCTGGCGGGAACCTGCCACATTGCAAACACTGTTGCGCAAGCAGCAGAATTTGCAGGCTGAGCTGAACATGAGCCTGCACCAGCAGCAGGAGCTGCAGCAGGTGAGGTGCGGGGTACAGGGCTAGGACAGCCCCAGAGCTGGCAGCGCGCCTGAGCCACAGTGGTGACAGCAGCACCTTACTGAGCACATTCTCTGTTAGTTTCCCGACTAGGCCCTGATGGGTAGGGAATTGAAGTTGTTTCCTGGGTGCTTCCTCTTTTAAAAAAAAAAATGCCTTTTCAGTAATTTTAAAGATGATATTTTGACATACTAAGTACATGGATAGCCATTGTGTGGCTTCAAAACATAACACTTTTTTAAACATTGCCTTTCTACCTACCTGACCCCAAGCAAATTTCCTCTGATATAAGCGCCCTGCTAAGTACTTTGTATGCTTTATCTTGTTTAAACAAATAACCACCATTTTCTCCAACCTACGAGTGAGGAAAGTAAGGCTTAGAGAGGTTCAGAAACTTGCAGCTAGTGCAGAGCCTCAGCAGCATGGGCTGGTGACTAGACTCCTGGTGTCAGAGCCCTTTGTCCCTGAGACGTGTGCCTTGTGGCTGCAGGAGGGGCAGAGGCTGCTACAAGGGGGCCATCCAGCCTCAGAGACCATCCGGGAGCGGCTGAAGGAGCTTGGGGAGCTCTGGGCTGAAGTGGAGGCCAACAGCCAGAGGAGTGTGGCCCGACTGCAAAAGGCCTGTGAGGTGAGGCTATGTGGGTCACAGAGCAGATCCTGGGGCTCCAGCCTCCACCTCAGGCTCACTCACATTCTGCCCTAGGCCCTGCGTCTACAGCGGAACCTGGAAGAACTGGGGAGCTGGCTGGAGCCCCAGGAGGTGGAGCTGAGAGCTCCTCTTGTGGGTCAGGACCTATCTGGGGTGGGCAAGCTCTTGAGGGCCCAGGAGGAGCTGGAAGCAGCCCTGAGCAGGCAGGCTAGGCAGGCACAGGCCCTGCTGGGCCAGGCTCACATATTGGCTTTCGAGCAGGAAGACCACTCTCTCATCAAAGATGTGGAAGAGCAGGCCCGGCAGCTGCTTCAGAGGTAGAGCACCCAGCCCAGTCTAGGCTTTCTTCTCCCTGGCCTCCTCCCCTGCTCCCAGTCTGTGTCTCCTCCTCTCTTTTCCCCTGCCCACAGTGAAGTGCACAGAGCCAGTGAGTACTGTGGCGGCAGTCTGGCTCCAGTACTGATAACCACCTACCCTCCACTGCTGCAGGATCGAGAGCCTTCAGGAGCCCTTGCAGGAGCGCAGGGCAGCCCTGGAGGCTCAGAGCCTCCTCCTGCAGTTCTTCAGGGATGCTGACGAGGAAATGGCCTGGGTGCAGGAGAAGCTGCCCCTGGCTACTGCCCAAGACTTTGGCCAGAGCCTCAGCACTGTGCAACACCTGCAGGAGAAGCACCAGGTATGGGTCCATGTGGGGAGCAGCCACCTGACATATTTAAGGCGTATGGGGGGGGCCCTGGATCTGTGGGAGTTCCATGACAGGGTGCTCCATGGGAGCAAGTCTGTGGGGTGCCATTAGACTTGAAGCACAACTCAGGTGTCTAGCAGCATCCCTAGTCCTCCCTTTTCAGAACCTGGAGAATGAGATAAGTAACCACGAGGCTCTGATGGACGTGGTGGTGGGCACAGGGCACAAGATGGTGCAGGCTGCGCACTTTGCTGCCCATGAGGTGGCCGCCCGGCTGCAGCAGCTGGAAGCAGCACGGGAGCAGCTGCGGGCAGAGGCAGCACGGAGGCGGCTGCTACTGCAGCAGGCCCAGGAAGCCCAGCAGCTTCTGACAGAGGTAAGAGGACAGGAATAGAGCACAGAGGGCTGGGGCTGGGCCTGAGAACCCGAGTATCTGGGGGCTAGAAGATGACACCCAGGGGCGGCAGTATATGCATCGTCCACTTCATCCCCAGAGTCTTAATTCTGTTCCCCAGAGAACTGAGGGGTGGTGTGCTTTGCTTCACTGCTCTTTCTAAACTAGTGGTTTTCAGCCTCAGAATCACCTGGAACCTTTGGTGCTGATTATACCTAAACCACCTCCTCATGGTGAAGGTCCTTGTATGAGTGAAAAAAAGAAATATGCTTAGGAATACTAACCAAATTTAGTTTTATTATTATGAGGTAAATAAAATCTTAGGGCCAGCCAGATAGCTCAGGAAACTAAAGCAGCTGCTTAGGCAAAGGGCGGCGGATGGGGTTCAATTCCCAGCATGCCCTGCTGGCCCCACTCTCTGGGTGCACAGAGATGGGGATTGAGACTGGGTGTAGTGGCACACACTTGCAGTCCCAGCATTCGGGAGGCTGAAAACAGGAGAATCACTACAAATCTGATCTATGTAGCTAGACCCTGTACTAATTTATTTTTTTATTTTTATTTTTTTTTTTTATTTTTTGCGGAACCGGGGATTGAACTCAGATCCTTGCGTTTGCCAGTCAAGCGCTTATCCTACTGAGCCATCTCCCCAGCCCCTCCCTGTACTAATTTAAAAAAAAAAAATCTTGCTGCAAGTTCAAGGTTAACCTGGGCTACATTGGGAGACCCCATCTCAAAAAAAAAAAAGAGGAGGAACCTTTGGAAACACTGACTGGTGGGAATGAGGGCACATGCCTGTCACATTTAGGAGGCTAGCATGGGAAGGTCACTCGACTTAGAGACCAGCCTGGGTAACACAGTGAGACCTCATCTTGGAAAGTACTGGAGCTCAGGCTCCATCCAGACTGAGGAGAACTTTCTGGGCTGGGCTAGGGTTCACCAGGTAACAACATGCAGCCAGGTGAGAACCACTGCTCTGAATCTTGAGACCTCAGACCCTAGCTAGGTCTACACCTTAGAGGGCTTTGCCCAGAGAAAAATGGATCAATGTCATCACTGCAGCTCCTAGAAGTGGGATCCTGGCTGGCAGAACGCAGCCATGTCCTGGACAGAGAGGACATGGGCCAGAGTGCTGAAGCCACACAGGCCCTTCTCAGGCAGTTGGAGGCTACCAGGAGAGATCTGCAGGGGTTCAGTTGGCGCATTGAGCGGCTGCAGCACACAGCATCCCTCCTGGAGAGTGGGCAGAACCGCGACAGGTGGGCAGGAGCCATGCTTGGAAGGAAGGGCCTTGGGGAGGGTGCTCCCACCAGGACACCTGAGGCTCAGGTCTAAGCTGTCTCCACTGCAGCCCCAAGGTGCTGGCCCAACTACAGGCTGTGAGGGAGGCCCACGAACAGCTGCTGCGGAAGGCAGAGGGCAGGGGACAGAGCCTGTGGGAGCAGCTACAGCTCCACCACCTGGAGCGGGAGGCCCTGCTGCTCGATGCCTGGCTGAACACCAGAGTGGCCGTTGCTGAGTCCCAGGACTACGGGCAGGACCTGCAAAGTGTCCAGGCAAGTCTGTCCCAGGCCAACCTGGGACAGTTGATGGAGCAAGCACAACCTGTGTTTGGGATGAGTGAGAAGCCACAGCAGTAAGCTGGAGGAGGGGGCCTCTCTGGGAGGATCCTGGGGGTTCTAGTAGGAGAGTACAGGGAGCTCAGAGCTCTGAGTTCAGAATTCTGGGCTCCATAGTGGCACAGTGACATCCTGGCCCCCCATCCTTGCAGGTGCTGGAAGCAAGGTTTGATGCATTCAGCAGGGAAGTGCTGGGCCTGGGGCAGGCCAAAGTGCAGGCCCTGAGGGAGGGCCTAGAACGGAGAGCCCCTGGGTGCCACCCCCAGATTCAAAGCCAGAAGAACCACATTGAGGCCACCTGGGAGAGGCTGAACAAAGCAATCAAAACCCGTACAGAAGTAGGTGGTATGGGCCCTACAGGTGTGTGTGTGTGTGTGTGTGTGTGTGTGTGTGTGTGTGTGTGTAGAAGTTGGCTGCTTTAAACACCCTGAAACAAGCAGAAGGGAGGCACCTCTAGCCCTCTGCAGGAGCAAGGCTTCCTTCTAGTGTAGGTGACAGCTCCAAGGAGAAACCGGCCTGCCCAACCAAGCTTCTAAGTCCCTCAAGCACCCCTAAGCCTGGGCTCCACTTCTTACCAGATGCCCTTGCTGGTCCCTCCTCACTGTGCACCCAGCCGGGCTCTGCAGGATCTCATGCAATGCTGAGCTCTCACCCATCTTTCCCATCCCCACCTGGCCTTCTCATCTGACTGCCCTGCATGAATTTGTGTACCATGTAAACCTTTAGCTTTCTTCCAGGACCTTAGCTTTCAGCCAGAACGGCTTGGTTGGTTTTTGTTTTTGTTGTACTAGGGATTAAGCCCCACATCTACCTATGTTCTGAGCTACATCCCCAGCCACCTTTTTAAGATTATTTATTCTGAGACATGGTCTCTCTAAGTTGCCCAGGCTAGGCTCAAACTTGTGAGTCTCCACAACTGGCTGCCACAGCTGCTTGTGTCCGTCAGAGCAGCCCAGGTCCCTTCATCTAGAGTCCCAGCCTGGGGCTGGCCCTCTGTTTCTCTCCTAGAGCCCATCATAGTGTTGCAGCCTCCTCCCCCTTGGGGCCAGAGCTCACATGCCCCAGGACTTTACACCAGCCTTTCTCAGACTTGTACTCTCTTTCTTCCTCACATGCCCCTGGGCCCTCACACACTACCAATAACATCACATATTCATCACAAAGCCCTACCTGTTCAAGAGGAGGTGGCCCTGGAGGCCTCCTCTCAGGGAGAAGGGAGCCCTAGGAGCAGTGGTCAGCCCCAACAGGCCAGGCCCTCTGTCCTCTCCCAGAACCTGGCTATAGCCCATGAGCTCCATGGCTTTGAGAAGGAGGCGGCAGAGCTCCAGGGCCGGATACAGGAGAAAGCTACCCTGCTGGAGGGAGAGCTCCTTGGCCACAGCCTACCATCTGTGCAGCCCTTACAGCAGCATGACAGGTCCCTGCAGGTGAGGGGCCCAGACAGAGGTGAAGGCGTTGCCTCAGTGCCTTCCCTCCACCCAGTGACTCCTGCCTGAGTCCAGACACCCAGAATCCCAGACACCCTCCTTTGGGGTCCCAGAACTTGACCCAGGCTGTAAAGCAGCACAGAGGGGGCTCCTCAGGCCTGGTCATGCATGGGACAGGCACGAGGTCAGGGGCAGACTGAGCCCTAACCTTGTGCTCTGGTTGCAGAGGGAACTGGCAGCAATAGCAAAGGAGGTGGCATGGGTACAGACGGAGGCCTGCCAACTGCGCCAGCGGCACCCTGCAGCTCAACAGGGCCTGGCTGAGTTGCTAGCCAAGGTGCAAGAAGCCTGGGCCACCCTGGAGATGAAGGCCCAGGAGCACAGCCGGCAGTGGGCACAGGCAGCCCAGGGCCATGCCTTCCGCAGACGCTGTTGGGAATTGCTGTAGGTGGTGTCCTCCTCTGCAGGGATGGGGTGGTTATCCTGCCTTAGGGGTAGCAGGACTCTCTCTGCCCTTACCCCTCAGACCACCCTGCCAAGCCCTGCCAGCGACTTCCTTTCCCTACCCTGCAGAGCATGGGCTCGGGAGAGGCAGGCACTGATGTCCTCAGAGGAGCTGGCCAGGGACCTGGTGGGAGCCAAGCAGCTCCTTGGGAACCATGAGGAGCTTGGGCAAGAAATCCAGGAGCGCTGTCTTCAAGCCCAGGCCATATGGCAGGAAGGACAGCAGCTACTGGACAACGGCCACTTCATGTCCCCAGAGGTACGAGCCCAGAGAGTGGGATGAGCCCACTTGACCAAGGCCTTAGAACCCCTGGAAGGCATAGAATAGGCCAGAAAGGCTGGGCGTGGGATGGTGAAAGAGGCTGAGAAGGGTGGGTCCGGGTCTGGTAGCCTTTCCTTCACTCCTCAGCTGTATCCTGCCAGCCTTGCCCCAGGTGGAAGCTGTCCATAGGCTTTCTTGGCATCAGCCTTTCCCCACCAGGTGACACAGAGTCTGCAAGAGCTAGAAGGTCAGCTGCAGGAGCTGCAGGAAACCTGGGCCCTGTGTCAGCAGCGCTATGAAGAGAACCGGAGCCTGCAGGAGCTTCGGCAGGGGCTGGAGCAGGCAGAGGCCTGGCTGGCCTCCCGGGAAGACCTCCTGCTGGAGCCCAGCTGCGGGGTGAGCGAAGGCCCTCCTGGAGCCAGTGTCATCAGGCAGCCACAGCCTAGGGTGGACCCTGCTGCTGTCCCACTCACTGGTTGCCCAGGCTCGGTTGTAGAGGGTAAGGAAAGGCCTTCAGGATCTCCAGGGCCTCACCCTGACTCAATTCTCCCAGCACTCAGTGTCAGATGTGGAGAAGCTGCTCCGCAGACATGAGGATTTGGAGAAGCTGCTGGCAGCCCGCGAGGAGAAGCTTACCCAGCTGCAGAAGAGGACAGAGGTGTGGCATGAGGCCAGGCCAGAGGTGGGGTACACTGAGAGGGGGGCTGAGGACTGGTAGTGGCAGTGGTCCCTCCAGTCAACCCACACAGCTTCCCTCAGGGCTTAAGAAAAACCTGCCACTTCAGTGGGACAGCACCACTGTGGGCTGGCAAGAGAGGGCAGTCAAACAAGGACACCTGAGAGGATTGGTATGCTTCAGAGTAGGATGTGCAGGCTGAGTGACCTACAACAGTGACTGGTCTGCCTCAGATGGGCTCATCTTGCCCCTCACCCCAAGGTGGAAGAGAAGCTACTGCAGGAGCAGACCCTTGGGAGAGCTGGTAGCCCACCAACAGTCATCCAGCAGAGGCTGTTTGGACACCAGGGCCCAGGAGCACAGCCAGCTGAGACCAAGACCCTTCAGCCAAGTGGCCCTACTGGACTGTACACACTCCTCACCATTAGTGTCTCCACAGAGCTTGAAGCTGGGCAGCAGCAGCCCAGTAATGCTAGTGTCAAGGAAACGGTTCATCCCCTCACCCTAGTGGGCACTGAGGCCCCATCTTGCAGTTCCAGGAGGCAAAGGGTACTCCCATCATGGAGGGATCTCTGGAGCTTAAGAAGCAGCTTGTACCTGGGGAGTAGCAGGAGAGTGCCAGCGAATTCCTTGTGCAGCTGCCTGGACTCAGGGAGGGGGTGGGGGAGCTACAGGCAGAGCCTGTGGCACCACCACACCAGAAAGGGATCAAGCTTCTCTTCCTGGTTTCCTGGTCTGTCACTCCTGGCTTGCTTTTCCCTGTGGGGACTATGGCCTGGCCCAGGACTCTGGGACACTTTAAGAGATGGGTCAGACTTCAGCCAGGTCTGCTCTAGCCTCTCCCCATTTGTGCCCCACCCCCACTACATAGCCAGGGCCAGCTCTTGGGACAAGGCTCCTGTTCTTGAGTAAGAGGATGGCAGCAGAGGCACCAGACAGCAGGGGCTGGAGACCAGGCGAAGCAGCTAGAAGATAGCCTCACCAGGGGAAAGCCTGAGGTGGCCCCGGCAACTCCTGCCCCTCATCTCCCCTCAGGAATTGGCTTCCATGCCTCCCCTCGACCTCAAGGGATCCCATGGCGAGAGGCTGAAGGACCAGAGTGGCAAGAAACATATGTTCTCCTTTAGGTAAGAGGCCTAACTCAAGCAATGGGAAGCGGGGGTCCCCCATGGAAGGGAAACTTGACCCCCGCCTGTTTTGTGCAGGCAGAGCAGTGGGGCACATATCCAGTTGGCAGCACCACCTGAAGGGCAGACGGCGCGCTGGCAGCGGGCCCCAGGCCATGAAGGTGAGCTCCGGGAAGGCAGGCGGTGGTGGCAGTAAAGCACACTGCAGTGTGATGCTTACAGGGGAATTTTTCTCGTCTGTAACCCTGAGAACAGGGCTCAAGGAAGTCAGGCAGTTTGCCTGCAGACATTTGCCAAAGCAGCCCTAGCAGTGGTAGAACCAGTTACCAGCTGACCCGCAAGTACACCGACAGGCGTCCCCTCAAGCCCCTCTGCCAGGCCCTATGGATTCAGTTCCTCCCCAAACTTCTCTGCTCTGCTCTTCTAATCCTGGGAGGCTTCTCTAACCTCAGACAGACATCTCTGAATGCCATTCTACAGAGATGTTTTAGGGACCACTTCCAAGCAGGAATATATAGAAAGCATCCTCTTAGGCCATTTCTGTCTTCATAGATCTGACAAGAAATGTCTTGGGGGATCCTGGCTCCATCCCCAAGGCCATCTTTCTAAAATCCCAAAGGGGCCATTTCTTCAGTATTTTGAGTACCTGCCACCTCCAGCTGGGTTGGTGGACACCCTGGGGAGCCTGCCTGCCTTCATGGGCTCATGGCTGTCTGGGAAAGGCAGGAGGCATGAAGGCTCCTCCTGAGGGCTGGCTGCCTGGGGTGGAGTGGTACACAAGTCAGGGTAACTGTCATTCTCTCCTTTCTCTCCAGCCCAGGATCGGGGTGCAGAACCCACAGCCAGCACCTCGGGTGAGAGTGCAGCTGTTCTGCTCAGGTAGGACACCTGGGGTGGGGCTCCAGGACCTGACACACAGCTGGCCTCTTCAGCCCAAAGTCCTGGGACTCAGCTTGCCCTGCCAGACTATGGGGGAACCCTCAGACTCCCTGGAAACAGGAAGCCCTGATACCTACTGGTTTGGATACAAAGCCTGGTCACAAGGCTGCCTTTCCCCCCCAGACTGGAAAGCTGTCCCCCAGCAGGGGCTCACTCCACCTCGGCTCTGCCCTCTGCAACAGGAGGCCCCAAGTGACAGGCCTAGGCCTCTCCCACTCCAACCAGCTTTCAGGTGGGTGGCATCCTGGCTTCTCCTTGGCCACTGCTGCAGACTGTGGCTGGCCTTGTCTGTCCAAGGCCCATGACATCCTTACTTTGTGACCTTCCTTACCCCTTCCCTCTCAAGACTAGAGGACATCCCAGCCTCCTGCTGTTTGTCTCCTGCTCCCCAAATGCAAGTTGGGATGGGGGTAGGGGCACATGTGCCAAGGCTGAGAGCTCAAAGGCTGAAGCAGATAAACAGGGTTCCCTCTGAGGCTCGTAGCCTCCTGTAGATCCACTTATCCAGATGCTCAGCACCTCCATCCTCCTCCTCCAAGCCACAGGGCTTCAGGCTGTCCAGAAGACACCTGGTGCTGGAGAAACATGGGGAGGCACTGGAGACAGGTGAGACATGGTTACATCCTCCACACAGGAGCCCTCAGAATGAGCCCAATGTCATGGCCCAGCTGTCACCTACCAGGCAGCAGCCAGGGATGGGTGTCTCTCTGGCACACCATCCATCCATTCCTATAAGGGCCACAGGTCCCAACTTAGGATTCATGTGACATGTGGTAAAGGGGGAGGCCTTGTCCTAGGCCAAGTAGCTTCTAGGGGTACCAGGACAGCCATTTCTTCTGTCCTGAAATTCCTACATGCCCAGGGCTGACAGACACAGCAAGCTGGATCCTGAGAATCAAGGACATTTTCTCACCCCACATCTGATGGCTGCCTGCCAGCCCCTAAGAGCTACTCCCCCACACCTTGGCTAAGCCAAGTGGGATCTCTACGGAGGGTGGCAAAGCCCTTATCGACTGTCCCTCTCAGCTACAGGCCCAACGGCTACTGTGGACCAGCTTCTGGACAATGTTGGATGGGCCCTGCCATGTCACAGCTTGCTAGGGAGGCCACTGTCACTGATGCCTGGTTCATCTGATCTCACGTCTGGCTGCTCCTTCCATGGCAGGAACAGTCGTCTGACTACATCATGGTCTCACTTCTATTCCCTGCCTGGGTGAGGTGGACAGGGCAGGGGCACAGTGAGTGACCAAACAGATATCCACTCTCTGACAGGCACCCATGCCTCAGGGCTATGTCAGGTGCCCAGAGAGAAGGGTTGCTTTGCTTTTAACCAAGAGCCCAGAATGACAGATGACTTTGGACAGTGCCTCCCATTTACAAGTACGTTTGTAATGTAAAATGCTCTGCTTCACTCCGTGCATTTGGCTACTTTCTCCCCATCACTCCTGCTGCCGCCACAAAGCCTATGAGCCCTCCTCACTCCATGGGGATCCCAGCTCTAGATGCAGCCAGAAAGAGCCAGGCTGCTTACTCTTAGCCTCTTGCAGGCCTTCAGCCTCATCTCTGTGCAGGGTCGCTAGTGGCTTCAGTGCCACCACCTCTGGACAGTCCTGAGCATCAAAGCCCTGTGGTACCAGAGGCTCCAGAACATGGTGATGCTGTCCCCATCCAGACTTGCAGCCACAGGGAAAAGGGCCAGGCAAGGTCCAGCCTAGGCACCTCCCCTGCATCACTGGGGTCTGCACTGCCTGTGCAGCCGCCGCTGCACAGCTTGGCGCAGGGCCTCCAGGAGCCGTTCCTGGTTGTTGCAGATGTTGTAATGTGTCAGGTGCAGCAGCTTGTCTGTATCCTCAGGGCTATAGGTCACCTTGGTGTAGTGGTATGGGGAGCTGGTAGAGGACAGGTCTACCTCGCCAGCTGCTTTCTCCTCTGGTGTCCGCCGCACCCCTGTGCAGAGAAACAGCCTATAAATGAGGGAACTGCCCTGGGGAGGGGGTCTGGGCCACTGCTGAGAGGCAGGGTAGAAGGGGATAGCTGGCTCACCAGGGGCTGAGTACTCCTGGAAGGAGTCATTGACCAGAGGAAAGTGGAGCACAATAGGGGCTTCAGGCTGGGTGGAGCTGCAGAAGGCATGGCACTCCTGAGGATGGCTCTGCTCCTCAGGGCTGGGTGAGATGTGAGGGAATGGAATCCCTTGCTCCTGGCAGAAGTGGCCCAAGAGCTGCAGCTGCTGCAGGATGGTAGAGGGGTCATGAGCAGGAGGCTCAAGGCTGAAGGTCTGGACTGCAGACCCACAGAGATGCAGGACCTAGTGCCCAGAGGCCGAGGAGACTGCAGTGGAACCCATGGGCAGGCCCACCTGACGAAGGCTGTGACCATGAAGAAAAGTAGGGGCTAAGCCTGGGAAAGTGGGGGGCAAACACCTCATTCTCAGCAGTGGGAGCAACACAAGAAACTCTCAGCAGCAGGGCTCACAGGGCCAGACCCTCCCAAGCCTTTAGGCCTAGCAAAGAGGATCATAGTCCAAAATACAGATGAAAACCTCCCCATCTGCTCCAGCACCATAATTCCTGGCCAGGGAAGGTGCCCTGGGAGGACTCAGGGTCCTGCATTCCATTCTGCATGATGTCTCTGTCACACAGCAAGGGAAGCTGTACCAGATGCTGGACACCAGTGGGCCAAGCAGAGAGGTAAAGCCAGGGTCACCCACCATCTCCCATCTATCCTCCTAACCTGGAAGGCTCCATGGAGGTTATAGTCCAGTGACAGGATGAGATCCACATCCCGAGTAGGCTGCAGGAGTGGCAAGCAACTAGTATTGATGAGGTAGCCGACATCCAGCAGGCAAAGGTGGGGCTCTGTGGGTGTCAGCTGGTTGGGAAGCCCATCTAGCTTGGTAGCTGCACACGTTTGGGAATGGAGTGAGAAGCAGCAGTTTTGATGACACTGGGAGCCACAGACACTGAAGCCCAGGGAAGGAGACTCTTCAGCCCCAGCCCTGCTCTGTGACACCCCACATACTGCAGCGCCCACACAAGCAAAGAGCAAAGGACTCAAAGAGCACAGTGCCCTGGAAATGGAGGGATACTGCAGGGCTGGGACTGAGGCAGAGAAACTGATACCTTTCCAGGTGGAGAAGTGGGGATGGTAGAAATAGTCTTTGTGGAAATGGAGGCCATGCAGAAAATTGTGAGTGGCCTGGGCCAGCGGGCGCCTTGTGAGAAGGTCGGTGAAGAACTCAGCGATACGGCCAGCTGCTGTGGGTGGCTCTTCTATCTTCATATGAGGAACCTGTTCCTTGTCTGGACCGGCAAGAATGTGGACGAAATGGGGCCCATGGGATCTCATCCCAGCCTCTGGGAGATGGGAAATGTTGAGGCCCTTGAGCCCCCACCCTCAGTGGGCTGCCCATGCGCCTACCCAGGTTGGCCCGATCCTGGGCCCAGCGCTCCCAGAACTGGCTGGGGTCTGAGGACCAGTACAAGCTGTCCCGGAGGCTGGCTGCGTACAGGTTGCTCCAGATACCTGAGGGAGGGCCACAAGAAGAGTCCCCGCCCCATCACAACCTGACCATTCCAGGTGGCCCATCCTAGACCAGGACACTCCTCAGGGGCTGAGCTGCATAGCCCAAGGGCACCCCTCACCTTCCCACACTACCAACGCTCCAGCCTTCCGGGTGGCGCTCACCTTCCAGGAAGCAGATGCGGGACTCTGGGAGCTGCTTTACCAGCCGCCCCATGAAGAACTCAGAGCCAAAGAGCTCAGAGGGGATGAAGGCCCCATACTTGGGGAAGCCAACCTCGTAGGGAGAGAACTCACACCACTCTGTGAGGAAACCATACATCTCAGTTTGGGGTATCTGTGGGCACCCACAATCCCACAAGTTTTGTGTAGGTGGACTTGGGACCAACAGATCCAGGCCTCATTGTTATGACTTAAGCACAGGACCTAATGCTCTTACCTCTGTCCCATAGGCCTGAGGAGCCCTGGTAGGATTAGTCTCTGGGACCTGGCCCAGGAGGTGGCTGTAAGTGCCACCTCCCACACACAGGCCTCTCCCTCTCCCAACAAGAGTACGCGTCTGCACTGTGGCGCTACTTACCTCCAAACTCAAAGGTTGTCAGGCTCTGCTGCTTGGTGTTGAGAGCACAATAGATGGGCAGAGGGTTCTGGCCGTGACTCAGCGCCTCCCGCTGATCTGAGAGCCTATGGTCGTGGGGCTGGGGGAGAGCAGCAGAACCTAAGCCTGTAGCTTCCTGGTATCCGAGCCTTTCCCACCCATCCCCTGGGATAGGCCAGGTCCCATCCACACACCCCATCATGCAACAGTGCCTCATTGATGAGGGCCCACAGGTTGGTGAAGCAGGCAGGGTGTCCCAGGCGGGTACGTTCGGCCAGCTCCTGCTGGTACTGCCACAGCTTGTTAGGAGCCAGCACACCCAGCTTGCTCTTTGTCACCTGTGTCTTCAGCAATTCCATGGGCCCTACTAGATCCTTCTGAGACCACTCTGGGTCCTCATAGAGGTTGGCCAAGGCCCTAGGAAGAGGGGTGGTAGGAGTAGGGGTCTTGTCACAAGGATCCTATCTGGGTTTCACCTGTTACTTTCTCTTTTGGGACAAGAGGTCCCCTGGGGCACCTCTCCCCGTCCCATTTGTTGCCCAGCTCTCCTGGTCTGAGACCCATGGGACTCAGTTGCCTTATCACCCACACTCCCTCACATTCAGACCCCACACCATGCAGTGGCTCTAGTACTCAGCCTGCCACCAGCTCACCAGGTGGAACCTGAGGCCCCTGTGATGTAGGAGACGCAGTCCAGGAGGCCCAGCTCCTTCAGACCAGCCAGCTGTCCATAAAGGGATGTCATTGCGCGGATCCCACCACCTGTGGCCATAATGGCTATTGTTGGGATCTGGAAAAGAGAGCAGCCAGACTGAGAAGCCCAAGGGATGTGGAAGGCCATGCCCTACAAAAAAAAGGCAAGCCCAATCAAGGGCCATTCAGCTGCCCCTCCCAGATGGGATCAGGGCCCTGGGGCCAGCTCTGGGTCTGCTATACTAGGAGGATCTGACTGGGACTAGCATCCCAAAGGGCCAGGCTTCACTAGGTGTGAGGGCTCTAGGATAAAGGGCACTTGCTCCTGTCGCAAAGGCCTGAAGAACTCTGGCAGAATCAATGTCTGGGAACTGGTCCAGGAGAGGTGGGTGTAAGAACTGCCTCCTACACACCCTGGTTACAGGTCCTACTCCGACAAGTTACTAGACCTCATCATTTCTGCTCCTGCTCCTGCTCCTGGGGAGTCTAAGTCCACTTTCTGGATGTTCCAGAGCCACTTTAAGTCTCAATTGCCCCTCTCCCTGCCCACACCAACACCTTTCCTAAGAGATGACCCAGGCTGACAGCCTTCTGGGACTTATGGGACCCCTAAGACAGGAGGCTATTCCCCACCAGAGGTCGGTCTCATCAATTACTGGGCCCAATCCCAAACCTGGCTGAGGGAAGGTTTCCCAAACAAACACAGGGAAAGAAAACTAGCCCACCAAGGACATTCCCTTGTGTGAGCTCCAGGTACAATGGGTAACACTCCACAATGGGAGGAAGTGGAGCTGAGGGGGCAGACAGGAGGGAGCTGTGACCCTGGGTTGGCACCAGCTCTGGACCATTTATAGAACAGCCAGTTCTAGTGTTTAGCCCTGGGCACAAGCAAGCCCAGAGGGACCCTCTCCAGCCCTACCCAGAAGCCAGAACCCAGACCTCATCCTCCTGTAAGTCTCTGTCCAGCTGTAGGGCTTGCTTCAGAGCTGCTGCCACCACCTGCTTCCGCCTGTTCAGGAAGGCCTGCTCCTCAGCACAGGGCCCACCGCCCAGCCGCACAGCCAGCTCCTTTGGGCTAGAGAAGAGGCATCCCTGATGCTGCCACTGCTATCCCAGAGAACAAGCTGGGCCTGCCTCCCATCCAGCTGCTGCCTCTACCTCCCCTCCCCTCCCCTCCCACGTGACTCTGCCATGTGACACCAGTGAAGTGAGAGGGGAAAGTGAGCTCAGTGACCTCTTGTGGCAGGGCATCTATGGTCTATCCACACAGCCTCTACCTGAACATGAGAGGACAGCAGGGATAACACGGCAAAGCTTGTGAGCCTGGGAGAATGGGGACAGAAGAGGCCATGCTGGTGCCAGGTGCAGGGACCTGACACCGTGACTCCCATCTCAGTCCCATGTTCTCTTCCTTACCAACCAACTCCAAAAACAATGACAGAGAAAATGAGACAGGTGGTCTTATGCTCCCTTCTCTGTGTGGGGAGAAGCTGCTCTCTCAAGACAGGGAGGACTGATGGGTGACCTCTCGTGGCAAGGAATCTATGGTCTATCTACACAGTCTCTACCTGAAAGGATGCAGCTTCCTTTGCCCTGTTTGTGCCCTCAAGCCTGTTCAGCCCTCATCTCCCCACATGTTTGTCCAGCCAAGCATTTATCCAGGGTTTCCCAAGTGCTGGGCACTAGGCTAGGCCCACTGCTCTGACTGGAGTAGGAATGCCAAGTGACAAGTCTAAGAAAAGGGCCTGCTCCACCTGTGAGCCAAGCCCTACAGCGCTGGAGGATAACTTGCTATAAGCCGACCCCTCTCTCCACTAGGCCAGCCACCTGCCCCTCAGTCTTTCCCAGGCACCTCCCTGTGGCTTCCCTATGTTCCTCCAGGTCTCTTACCCTTCTTCTTTCTTCAGCTCCACCCTCAGCATGGGTTCCTGGAACCATAAATGTTTCTGTCACAAAGGGTAATCGCCTTCACCCAACTCCGTCCTTCCCACTGGTCCCTGTGCACCCCAACTTCTAAGCAGTTCCCTGGGGCTGCAGCCACAGGTCCTTCAAGCCCAGGGCCAGCCCCATCCCTGTACCCAGTTTTCCTCTGGATACCAGTACCTGAGATGTTGGGAAGACCAGTCTCACCAGCTGGCCAGAGGGCAGGGCCCGCAGTGGCACCTTCAGTTGCTCTTGGGGGTCATCCTGCAGGGGATGCAGGGCAAACACCCAGGAGTCTTCACCCTTGTCATAGTAGGACCCCATCACCTCTTCCTAGCAGCTAAAGAAGAGCCACAGGGAGAGGAGCATATGGCCAGCACCCCCCAACCAGCTCAGGACAGTGGCCCCAGGTGAAGAAGCTAGGCAGGAGGAGGTACAGAGGGAAGGAGGTGGAGGCTCTGGAGACTAGCTCCCCACGGCAGGCACATTACCTGCAGGTAAATACTCAGCTCTTGCTCCCAGGAGGCCACGCAGTGGAAACAGAAAGAACTGGTACCTACAGAGGCCTCCTGCACACCTTCACAGGCCCCTGGAACTGCAAGCTGAACTTTCTTCTCTGACCCTAGAAATGCGAACCAAAGCAGAGGCTGAGTGGCATCTTTGCCCAAAGTCCCTCACTGAGCCTGGAAGGTACTTCCTTCCCTCTCTCCTCCACAATGATGTTCTTGTCCTGGCCCTGGCTGGGAGACAAAGTCCCCACCACAACCCCTGCAAAACCTAGGGGGAAAGCCCAGGTCCAGCACAGACTGATCCCAAGCCACACTCCTGCCTGAGAACTGCAGGCAGTGAGGGCAAGGTCCCTCCAGAGTCTCCTTTGGAAGCAGGAAGACTGGAATAAGAGATGAGAGCTGTTGCAGTAGGTCAGACTCACCTTCCCTGTCCCCCATGTCTTTCAGCTGAACGTACAAACAGTAGAGCTCCCGGGCCTGCATGAAGGGAGAGCCTCTCAGTCACTGGCACAGGCTCCTTGCACCTCTCTCAGGCTCAGTAACCAAGCACTGCTTGAGCCGCTTCTCTTATGAGGAGGAGTCACCCAGGGACCCTAGCCACCTCAGTGGCTCCTGACTCACCACTAGGATGTCATTGCTGACCAGACTTTCTGCACAGTGTGGCCTAGAAAGAGTCCCAAGGACCCAGGTCAGGGCCCAGGTCTTTCCATAATCCCCAAGCCCAAGGTCTGAGTACTCCTCCTGCACCAGGAAGGGCACCCAGACAAAGGCACCCCACATCTGACCAGACTGCCCCATGGCCAGACTCACAAGCTCTGCAGCCGAAATTCCACGTCCAGGCGCATCTCACCCTGAAGAGAAAGAGAAGTGAGAGGGAAAAGGAGAAAGAGTGAGAGGGAGGAAGAGACAGAAAGGGAGAGAGGCAGAGAAGGAGAAAGGCAGAGAGGGAGAGAGGGAGGGAGGGGAGAGGGAGAGAGGGAGAAAAGGAGAGAGGGAGAAAGGGAGAAAGGGAGAAAGAAAGGGAGAGAGGGAGAGAGGGGGAGAGAGTGAAAGCGAGAGCAAAAGTGTGTGTGTGTTCCAACCCAGATATCAGCTGGGCCTGCTGAGGCTGCAGTGGTGGGAAGGGGCTACTGTCCCTCTTCAGGCTGCTCTGTCTACATTCCTTGGGCTGCTCAACAAAGCTCTCTTTTGGCACACCTCAGGAGGCTGAGGCAGGAACGCCACAAATTCAAGGTCAGTGGGGGCTAGACAGTGAGTTTGAGGCCAGTTTGGACTACATGGTAAGACCCTGTCTCAATACACCCCTCCCCCAACTAAGTATAGAAAGCTATGCTTTAGCTCTTCTAGAACCCAAGAAAGAAGACTGGAGACAGGATGCTCCTTGGTTACCATACACTGGAAAAAAGGGGCCTGCCTTGCCTCAGTGTTCAGGAAGAAACTCTGGCGTCGGAACTCCCCAACTCGTAGGGTCCCTGCATCAAACAGCACTGACAACACAGCATCATCCTTGGTCCACAGGTCTTGGTCAAAGACTTTCAGTTCCAGTATATTCTGCAAGGGACCAAAGGGAGATGTTTACAAGGAGGAAGAAGGAATGGGAAAGTGAGCAGGGTAGAGGCCAGGGGACTAGGACAGGACAGGTGAGACAGAGGGCAAGGTCAGCCTGATGCCTGGACCACCTTGAGCTGACTGTGGATTCGGAAGCGAAAGGTTTGGTTCCAGACCGGGTCTCTGCTGTTCTTGATGGTGCGCGTCTGCAGCCTGTGGCTGGAGGCTGTAGGCAGCCACAGAGTCACGTAGCAGTCAGAAGGGCTCACTGCAAGGAGGAAGAACAAGTACCTATAATGGCCAAGCCAACCCAGCCTGCCCACCAGAGCCCAGTTCTCCCATCCCCTGCAAACCATACCCACTGGGCTGGACCCTACTGCCTCTTGTACCCAGAACTGCTCCACCCCTTCCCACTGGCACCTCCCTGATGCTGCCCACTGTAGTGCCCTCCTCCCCCAGCCAGCACAGGGCCAGCAGCACAGGATACTCACTCAGGTCCTTGGAGGGCAGGTTATGGGCTTGCAGGACACGCACAATTAGGAGGCAGGTCCCAGGGACCCTTGCCTGCAGGAGGGGAGAGGAGGTTTGCTGCCCGCAAATGGGGCCACAGCAAAGACTGGGCCAATCTTTTGAGGCCTAATGCTGAACCAAGGGTTCAGGCGCAGGTCCACCTTCCATGCTATCACAATGCTGAGCCGACAGGAGGGTGGCCGTGCTGACACCTGGCTACACTGACAAAGCACTACACCAGGGATCTACATACATTCACACCTACCACACCACAGCCTTGTGTGGGGGCATAAGAGTGACCTCACAAACTGAGGCAGAGGAGCGGCCAACTACTTGAGATCTACCTGGGACTGGCTGGCTCCTATTTATGCCCATACCCAGCTGCTTCTATTTCCTTTAGCTTTTCCACCCCATACCCTAGCTAAGCTGCTTTGGCACTGGTCAAGGGCAGCAAGGCATATAAGCTATCCTGAGGGAAAGGGGCGTGCCAGGGTCTCGGTGTCTTGTAACCTGTCCTTGTGCTATCCATTCCATCCTGGAAACCAGCTCTCCGTATAGTGCAAACAGCAGCTATCATCCTCAGGTTCTACCATGGTCCCTACAGAGCTCTCTCCAAACCCGTTCCTTGGTTCTGGGGATGCAAACCTGGTCTATGTGCTAGGGCAAGGGAGGTCTGTGTCAGCTGGTCCTCCCTACTGGTTCCCACCCCTGCCTCTGGATGGGCACTAACAGATCCAGTCCAGAGAGCTCCTGGGGCAGGGGCAGAGCTGGGGAAGCTCATGGCCTGCGGAAGAGCCCCAAGCAGTCGAGTCAGGAGGAGCATCAAGCAGCCACTTCCCAGGGCCCATTCCAGGTAGAAAGTCCCTCAACCAGATCCCTGTCTCTGCTCACTGCGTAGGTCCCACAGCACCCTCTGTGCCTACAGACTAGAGCTCCTCTAAGAAACAGCAGAAACCAAGATAAGATCGGGGCCAGGCTTAAAGTTAAAAGTTGGCTGCAAGTCACTCCTGGCTAGCAGAGGCCTCTGGGATGCCAGAGATACCTGGGCCATGCACTGGAGAACAGGGGCCTGTGCCAGATATTCTCCACAGTGGGGCCAGCACCCTGTGAAGCCTTACCAGAGCCATGAGGCTGAGTCCTCAGAAGCAAGAATGATGGGGCAGTGGCCACAGGAGCAAGGACTACTGGCTTTTAAAGCAGAACCAGGTGTTCCAGCTGACTGGAGCACCTCCCTGGTCCTGCCTACCTGCCACCTCCTCTCCACCCAAGTCCACGCCCACTGAACAGGCCCGGAAATGAGGCACCTTAAGCCTACACTGGAGCTACTGACACACGCATGGTGCCAGCCCCAGATCTCCGACATCCCAGATGTCCCACCCAGGGCCTGCCCCAGCCAACCCTGCCTTGAAGGAGGAAGCTCCAGGAGAGCTTGTCAGGGTTGAGCTGAAGGAAAGCAGAGCCTGGGGCCCACAGCAGAAATGATCTGAGGAACCAAGTACCCAACATCATCAGGGCCTTTCACAACTTCCTGGTGCCAGTACGACAGGAATGCCCAGTCCCAACTAAAGCCCTTGGCCAATCTGAGAAGTACTTCAGGTCCCATTCCAACCTGCAGGGGACTGGCCCTGCCACGTAAGCAGCCCTTCAAAGCTATGCCCGAGTCTGGGCTGCCTCCACCCTCGGGGTGGGGTGGCCAGGGATGAGCCTGAGGGTTGGCACACAGAGGGAGGGTCTCTTCCCACTCTTCCGAAGGATGTCCGCCATCCTCAGAGGGACAGTCCCAGGAGGAACAGGACTTCTGTCCCTTCCTGCCTGTGCCCAATATAGGGTAAACAAGGTTTACCCCAGGGCACCAGACTGTATCAGCTGCCCAAGAACAAGAGAGGAAAGCAAACTAGGATAAGCCAGGAATGGCGCCAGGGCCCTGAGCCAATGAGGCTTCAATCAGGCAGTCACAAGCAAACCAAGGCCAGCCTGGCCCACCCCAGGAAAGAGCAGCAAGGGTTGCTGTGGATAGTGCTTTGGGCAACAGGCAGCTCCACATGTCTACATCTGACCTGTAACCCCATCAGGATCACCCTCAGATTTTTACCTAAACCACGCTCTTTAGGCCGCAGAAAACTGTGATGGAGGATCAGAACAGGTGAATGTCAGACTCTTTTATTGACCACTTCCTCTGTGCTAGGCCATGCTGGCCTTCCAAATATGATTTCCATCCCCACAACCACCCTTGAGGTGGCCCATTATTATCTCCGCTTTGGGGCCAGGACACCAACGCCAACAAATGGTGATATGCCCAAGGTCACACTGCTGGACCTAATCCCCACTCCTCCTCCTCACCTGTGTGGCAACTTCCTGGCACCCTCACTCAGACCTGCCTGGCACCTCTTGACTACATCCCAACCCTTGGTGGCCCTAGGCCAGCAGCAGCAGCAACTACTCCAACTCCAGGTTGTCTCTGCAGTTGACCAGGCCAGAAAGAACTTGACCTTTCTCCTGAGCTGTCCTTGGTGGTGTGCACAGGACACCATCAGTTGAGACCTGCAGCCTTCGTGAGGCAGTCGAGCAGCTGGAAGTAACTGTACTTGAGGTCATATTCCATGTCATACCAGAAATTCACTGAGGAAAGAATGGGGACATGAATATGGGGGTCCATGTTTTAACTTAGAGTCCCCAACTTTCCCAGATGCCCTGCTAGCCTTGGCAGGGCCTGCCCCAGGAGCCTCTCACCAGCAATGCAACCATGGGACTGCTGGACATGGTGGAACCACAGAGCTGGTAGGTAGAGCAGCTCACCAGCCTGCACCGTGCAGTGCAAGGCCTGTGCCTGGCTGTAACTTGGGTACTGCGCCAGGTCTGGAGCAAGGGGGTCCAAGGGGATCCAGGGTACCTAGGACATAGCAGATGCCAGAAGGGAACAGGTCCCAAGGCCCAGGCCCCTTAGCTCTGTCTCTTCTGAAGGTGAATACCATGGACCCATCCTCTGCTCAGTACTGCAAGGTCCCAGAATGAACATTTTTCAAAGCAAGGTGCCACCACCACCCCAGATCTTCCTGCCTATTTCTCAAGGCCCTTTTGTCTCTCCACAGTCCAGGAACAGAACAGACACCTTTTCCATGGCTTCTTCATCTACCATTTTAAAGGTGCCCTCTTCAGTCAGCTGGTAGCTTGCTGGTGTGTACAGCTCTGCAGACCAAGAGAGAAGGGTAAAGGGAACGTTGCCAGCCTTGCCAGCTCTGCCCTTTCCAGCAGGCCCATGCTCTTCCTAGGTGCAGGGCCAGAAGGCTGGGGTTTCTGGTACAATTTAGATCTGTGGCTGTGCTTTAGGCCTGGGCATCAGCCTACCCAAGGCTCTTGCTGCCCTCCCTCCACTACAGGCCACCACTTCCACAACCTCTCCTTTAGTCCACATCCCTACCATAGGGGATAAAGGGCCGGTCACTGGGCAGATGTAACAGGAAGTGTTTCTCTCCCGACACCACACAGTACAGGTTCTCATAGTGGTCCTTGTGCACTGCAAACATAAGTAAGGCAGGGGACAAATCTCCTTATTCATAGCCCTATATCCAATTCTACCTAGGACAAAAGAAATGGCGCCTGAAAGGTCAACTGGCCGAAGATGGTACCAAGGACTCAAGTGTGTACCAAAGAACCTGGTTCCAAGTTCAATCCATGGTACCACATGTAGCTGCATAGTGAGACCCTGTACCAAATTAAATAAATAAATAAATAAATAAATAAATAAATAAATAAAAATTAAAAGCAGCAAGATTTTAAAAAGAAAAAAAGAACATGGCCCATAGGGCTGGACCCTGGGCAGACCCTAGCTCGCCTCCACCATGAGGGCAGGCTCAGCCAACATGCTTCTAGGTTCCCTGCCCTAGCTGGCCTTCAAAACGCCTTCTAGGAACCCAGAAGAAACTGCATGCCCCACTTCCAATGCCATGGGTATCCCCTCAGCTGTCAGGGGAAATCCTCTGTAGGGTCCATGTTCCAGAATCACAAAGCAAGTCAGAGATCAGCCAGCCCAACTGCCACCCCATCTATCTTCTGTGCAGGTCTCCTCCTCTTTACCCCACTGGCTCCTCTCTACTTGGGATCTCCAAACCTACAGGACGTCACTGCAGCTGCCTCTCCGAGCCAGAAGTTCACAGCATCAGGCATCTTTCCTGTGGAGCAGAGGGTAAATCACGAAGGCCCTACACAAGGATGCTCAGGAAGAACCCAGGCAAGGGCAAAGGAATCCAAACAGAAAGAAGAGGAAGAAGGTGGGAGTACTTCCCCTGGGGGCAGGAAGCTTCAGTTGTGCGTCTATTATCAAGTCCAAGCCAGAGGCAGGCATGGGGGCAACACCAGACTCCAGAGCACCCAGGCAATGGTAAAGGGAGAGAAGAAGCAAGCAGGTTGACTGTCCTCCCACTTCATCCCTGCCCAGCCTCCAGCCAGAGACCACCACATGCCACCCGCTTCTGTGTACTGCCTCCACGCACCCAGAGCCTCAGAGGCCCAGGGCACATGGGGCTCCAGGTCAGGCAGCAGCTGGGGCAGCTCAGTAGTCAAGTTGGAGCATTGCTTCTGTACATAGAGGACTCCTGGGTGCTGGGCTTGACCCTCCAGCACATCCAACACACGGCTCAGGGGCAGGTGGCGCTCTGCAGGCATCACGAAGCGGTCCCCTCGCACCACATCAGCATAACCATCTGGGGTCACAGCCACACTCACCTCTGTAGAACCCACAGTGGCTCTAGAAGAACAGATACAAAGCTCAGGTCCAGCTGCCAGAAAACACAGCCCGCCCAACACCCAGTGAAGCACCCACCTTAAATAGGGAAAGGACCATTTTTGAAGGGCTGGCCAGTGCTGCAGGGCATTTCGGATGATGCAGGGCCTGTTGGGGCACACCCAGTCTCGGTAGAAGCAGAGTGGAGTAGGGGGCTGGTCCAGGTAGGGCACAGCAGCAGGCACGCTGAGCTCTGAGAAATGGGGAAATGTGTGGCTAAAGGCACCCAGTCAGCTGCGTAAGAGAAGCCTGCCCTTCCTACCCTACATCACTGGGTTATACCCATGGGGCTGTGTTAGGCTCTGTGCAGCGGACCCTCAGCCTTCCATCCATGAGGGACCAACCTCCCAGCATCTCTTAGGAACAGAAACCAATGAGCTGGTGGGGGAGGCCCAGAATGACCTCCATGGGCTGGGAGGGGGTAGGGGCGAAGCTCTGGGAAGCCCCCTCCGAAAGTGATGCCAATGTGGATATAAAGGGAGGACCTGAACGCTACCTCAAGAAGCTTGGGGCTGGGGAGATGGCTCAGTGGAATAAGCGCTTCCCTGGCAAGCGCAAGGGCCTGAGTTCAATCCCCAGTTCCGCAAAAAAAAAAAAAAAAAAAAAGAAGCTTGTAACTCACCTGGGGAAATATGTTGTTGGGTGAAGATGCTAGAAGAAAGGTGAGGACTGTTTTGGGTCTCACTATCTTGGATACTGGGGATCACCAGAGGCATTTGGGCAGCTTATACAGCAGGTCTCTGGAGGTCTTGTGTCACCCTGTCAGTTATGACTTAACCTTTTCCCTGCTCCTGCCATCTTACTGTTTGTAAGTAATCAGCTTTGTAAGAATCCAGTTGATTCTACCAACTGTTCCTCAAAGCCACCTCTGCCTGCTCTTGACATTTTAGTCCCCCCTCAAGTGTCACATAAATAAGGTTTCCTTCCCTGACCAGTCTTTTTAAAATTACAATCTGCCCCCAAAGTCCTATCCCTTCCCTACTTTTTCCTCATCTTTATCACCATCTGACATGCTATATATTTCATGTATGTCTCCCTCTCCAGAATGACAGCTCCACTGATGCAGCCCTAGTACCCAGCATGTAGTAGGTACACAGTAAATACATGCTTAACAGTTGAATGTGTCTCAAACACTCGAGCCAGATGGTTGCTGTAGTGAACTAACTCGTTTTTCTGGCTTAACTCCCCTCTTAGAACATCACCACCTGGGCCCAGTCATCTATAAATACAATCTTCTGTCACATGCCTAGTAAAGAATCCTTTGATGTGCTGGGTATGGTAGTGTGCACCTACAAATCTCAGATACTCAGGAGGCTGCAGCAGGAGGATAGCAAATTTGTGGCCAGTTGGAGCAACTTAGGAGATGTAGCTATACACGTGTAAGGCCCCAGGTTCAGTCCCCAAGGACACCCTTACACACACTTTGATGGATTACCACTTCTCCTTACAGAAGACAGATTGCTCGGCATACATTGAAAGTACTTCATGAGCAGGCAAAACCTATTTTTCAACTATGATGTGTTTTGGTCTCATGCCTACCCCTCACTATATACCACAGGCAGTGCTGGACTTGATTCCTACAGCTCACTCCGATTGGAAAGCTTCTTTGTGGCTTTTGTAAGGGCAAAGGGCTTTGATCTGTTACATTTGTCTTCTAGGCTGGCTGAAATGCCTTGGCCCCAGTCAGTTCTTACTGCAACCTGCTCCTGATGGCCATGAACTCATCTTCACCACTGACATCAAGAAGTACCTTCAAAGCCACTTCACACCAGTCATCCTTGACTTCCAATCAGCAACTTTAGATCAGAAATTGGAACTCAGTAGGAAGACCCTGGTATGCCCAGAAAAGATCTGGCACATGTGTGCTTGCTTCCCTGGCTAGGAACAAGATGGAACCTGCCAGGTAGACATGGGAGGGAGGGAGGAAATGACAGGTCATCAGAACAGTCACCTCTAGAGGTGTGATGGCATTAAGTATGTCTGTCTTCCTGTTGTGCTCATCAGGATTGGAAGGAGGGTAGCCCTGGGATTCTCAAAATATGTACAAGCTGTCATATTTTATTATTTAGATTTTCTGCAATTATTTGTTTAATCACCATTTCCTTCAGAGAATGACTATTTTCTCTCTTAGTGTTTCAAAATAAGACAATTTGAAAAGGGATCCCATTAAGTAAGCTAATAATTCTTCTAAGTGGCTTTTTTTTTTTTTTAATGTATTTGGTACGCAGCTTAGACTTGTAGTGATCCTCTCGTTTTCAGCCTCCCCTGAGCTGGTATTACAGGTGTGTGCCATCACTCCTGGTCTCAGTGGCTGGCTCAGCGTGTCCCTGGCAGGGCCAGCGCATCATGTGGTGCCCGGGATTGAACCCTGGTCCCTTATCTCACTGGCTCTCTTCTAAGAATTTAACCAGCAGAAATACCCACGTCCACGCTCTCCTCCAGGCACACTGGTTTCTTCACTTCACTCCACACACCAAGGACAGTAGACTCTGCTAGCCCACATCTCTCGTCTAACCTACTACTTCCCTAGGACTTCCTTTTAGTGCACTGATGGGTAACTGTCTCCTCTTCACTGAGAACACAAGCTCTGTGAGTGATGTACCTCAAATACACAGAACAGAACCTGGCACACAGAGGTCTTTAAGAAACGTTTGCTAAAAGAATATTTAAATATTCATCGCAGTATTACTAAAAACGACCTACATGCCTATCTCCATGGGCTGATTCAAGTACAGCCGTGGTTCACAGGTACAGAAAGGTCCGAGGTGGATAGATGAGAAATGAGCTCCTGGATGCCTGGTGCTGAAAATGTGCTCAACAAGCAACTAGTTACAGTATACCAAAAGAGGAGTACAGACTCGTGTGCACGGACAGAAAAATTTTGGGGAGAATGTGAAGTGTGTTAAAGGATGGCAGGAAAGCTTTATTTTGTTGTGGTGTTACTTGGGTCCGAAACCGGGGTCTGGCGCAGACCAGGCAAATGCTCTACCTAACTACACCTCGTTCCTCCCTCTGCATATAGTGAGAACGTTAGTAAAAGCTTACATACATTACAGACACAGGTGCCCATATACCGTCTCCATGATAAGAAACCAGGTGAAAGAAAGTAACACAGCCACAGTAGAGGAAGCCTATAGTCCCAGCACTCTGGGAGGCTGGAGCTGGAGGACCATAGGATAAAGTTCTGCCTGCGTAACTTAGCAACTCAGAGAGACCTAGTCTCAAAATACACCGCAAAATAAGTAAGTGCTATAAATAGTTAAGTGCTAGTTTTTAAAAGAAGCTTCTACACAAATTAACGCACTGCCTAGGTTCATTCTGCACGGGGCTAACCGGGGAACCCAGAAGGGCACTAGAAAAACCCTAAGACCGCACCCGGTCTCGGCAATCCAGCGACTCCTCACCCCCGGAAGCCCCGAGCACGCTCGACCCCTGCAGGAGCAGCCGCGGACGCCCGCGCCGGGGGAAGAAGTTCGCGGTGGTGGCCGCCCAGAAAAAACTAGGTTCCCGGCACCCCAGAGCCCCTCCCACGACAGCCCACGCCCGGACGCCGAGCACCCACTCACCCCGCGCCTCAGCCGGGAACTCTCGTAACGCCCTCCGCACCGCGTCCAAAGCCCCCGCCGCCATGACGCCAACGGCCCGCGGCCCCGCCCAGGCCGCACGCCGGCGCCCGGGCTCTCCGCGCCCTCCTGGCGCCGGGCGGCTGCTCTCCCGGTCCCGCTATCCAGTGGGGCAGAGCAAGAAGCACTTTCTGTAGCCGGCACCGCTTGCTGGCACCACATAGTTAACAAATGATTGTGTTTATTGACAAGTTCAAACATCAATACAAACGGACACGTTAAAAAAAATCCCCTGCCCGGTGCAGCCGGAGAGGAGACAAGCGCCACGGTCCGGACAAAGTATAAAAGTTATAAATAAGAGGATCTCAAAACTGGGGCGGAGCGAGTCTGGGAGGGGCAGCAGCAGCCAGCGACCTTAGACATGCACAAACGGACGTGTCGCCAGCCACAGGACCCCTCCCGGGCAGGGCAGAGGGCAGAGGAAGGGCTGCTACCTTCTCACCAACCATGGCGGGAATGTAGCACTCGCCTCGTGGAAAGGCTGGCTGAGGATCGCTAAGCACCTGGCCCTGAGAAGCCGAACCGGCGCCTAGTTGTGGTGGGCTGTGGCTGATGTGGCGCTCTAACCCCCAGAAGACAGCTGCAGCACGACCCCCTGGCCGCAAGAGTTCTGGGGTCCAGGGTTTGAGTTTGGCCATGCACGTGGTGGTGGCAGAGACCGGCTTTTTCCAAGACCCAGGTTCTTCATAGCATCTACCTACAGCGCTGCTCACGTGTGAACAGGCTTTTGTGGCCTGAACCCGTGGTAACAGTGGTCCTGATGTCTAGGGCAGAGGAAAGCAGGGGCCCAGAGACACTTTTTCTTTGGTACCAGGGATGGAACTCAGGATCTTGCACTTACCAGGAAGGTGCTTAGGCCACTGAGCTATATCCCTGGTGAGACACTGTTTTCACCAACTCTGCACCATTTATTAACTGCCTAGTCCTACTCTGTGAGCCTACCATGCTCTCCTTCCCTTCATCCCTAACTGCCCTTTTAAAGCTAATCTGTCCCCTCACCCCTGCCACTTCCCTCTGCCATCTGCCACTTCCCAGTGTGTCTCTTGGTCCCTGTGCCTCCTCCATTCCAGCACTGCTGTGGAGATTGATTCTATCAGGACCAGGTAGGTTTCATGGGCCACCTTGCAGCTAGGGTGTGGACACCAAGAATCAATGTTTTGGGTTGAATGTTTCATTCCTTTTCATGCTCATGATGAGTTCCACATAAGCCAGGGTGGTGAAGCTGAGGCAGAGTGTGAGACAAACCCAGGCACACAGGAGCCAGCTAAGTACTCACAGGTGTGTTTGGGAGGCTGGTTTTACCTGCAGCCAAGGTCCTCAGAAGGTTGACTGGCACCCTCTAGACCATGAGGGTAAGTCCACACAAGTTTTTGACTGCATCATTGGGATGCAGTGAGAAGGCAGTAGCTCTGGGCTTCAGCAGGCTGCTGGGCACCAGGGCAGGAGGATAAAGAAAGCTAAGGGGCTGAGGAAAGGGGACCAGGCTTCATGTCTGCCCAGCAGAGGGCTTTACTGTCCTGCAGCAACATCCTACAGCTGGCTCCACATGCTCTAGCCAGGAAGGGAAGGGTTCTTGGGAGTTGAAGGGAGTGGAATGTGGGGGCTCAGGTCCTGATACCAATTGTCTCCTGAGGGTTGGGATGCTGTGCCTCTGTGAGCTGCCAGAAGCTGGGATACATAAGCCCTGCTCTGGGAGCCAGCAGCATGCAGCTGGTGTGGGAGGGGAGTGGGAGTAGAGGTGAAGGTGCACTGTTGGCTGGTGGCACTGACTACCACGTCACCACTCGCCTCTACCCCATGGAGTACCCTGTGTATGCGCTGATCCCTGAAGTAATTTCAAATGGCTTCTAAGAAGAGAGAGCCAGCCCTTCCCAACGTCCATCAGATGGGGCAGGCTGCCCTTCTACCCTTCACAGCACCAAGATGACAAAGACTCGGCCTGCCAGGAGCCACTGCAGGGGCTGTGGAGGCAGGAGCTCCACCGAAGTGAGGGCACAGGCAGGGAAATAAATTAATAAATACAGGGCCCATGAGGAGCAGCTGGGAAAGCTGCTTCCCAGATGAGTGCTGGTCCCTCCATCCACTCCAAGCATCTCATATGTCATAGTGAGCAGAGAAAGAACCATAGTTTGGAATGGGGAGCATTCACTTGGGACAGGCTCTGGAGCTCAGAGTTTGCGTTCCATGCGCCGCTCCACGGCTCGAAGCAACAGCTCTGAGTACTGCTCCAGCAGGGCCTGTGTTTGCTCAGCTCCTACAGTCCCAGGGCTGCTGCCTGGGCTGGACAGTGCAGTCCCAGCCAGGACCTCCAGCTCCTGCCGGACAGAAGAGAAGGTGTCTCTGAGGAGCTGAGTAATTCGACTCTGTTCTGCTGAGGGCGTCTTGCAGCTGGCCACCTGCAACAATCCCAAGAGGTGAGTTGGAGGAGCCATGGAAATGACTGTTCATGGCCCTGCTAGCCCTAGCCTGCCCAGAAGTGACTGGCGGAGAGTTCCACACTCCAAGATCAGCAATCATGACCAGGGATTATGGAGTCCATTCAGACTCTGGAGGGAGACGCACAGAAGAGTCTTTTTAGATTACAAATCATTTACAGCTTGCTAGCCACCCTTCACAACAGCTTACACAGGCTTCACTCTCGCTTTCTAAGTGTGGACCCTCACGGCCTGTCCCCTATGTCTAGCATGGCTAAATAATTTATGGATATACAAAGGATATTATTAATAGTGTCATGGGGACACTAGACATAAATGAGGACATGGTCTCTCCAAGCCCTACCCTCCTGTCTGTAGAGGTCTCCAGTGCTTCACAGGTAGGTACCTGTCTGGTTTGGCATCCCTGGCCCCTAGTTCAGCAGGCCTAGCTCCATATATTCCAGCCAGGGTCCTTCTGAGTGCTCTAGCCATATCCCTCTAGACACTCAGCTGGCCAATACCCAGCACTACTGACATGCTGCATCTTCCTGCCAGTTGATGCCAACACTCACCAAGTGGTACAGCCCCACAGCCTGGCGCACTTTTCCACGGAGCTCGGTCACAAGTTGTTCACACTGCTCCAGGTTCACAGCTGGTTCTAAGAGGGACAGACATAGCTCAGTGGGGCTAAGCAAGTTACTCTGTCAGGCTTCCTCACCCAGGAGCACTCAAGAGCAGGAAAGGCCTACTCTTCAGCACTGCACCCCACTCCCCAGTCCTCCAGCCTTCTCTTCTAGCCCTCCCATCCACCCGCGCAGCACACAGACAAGATCCAGAGGACAGGGCCAGCTCCAGACTCAGTCTGGAAAGCACTGCACAGGTGGAGGGGGTGTCACAAAATCATGAAGATTGGCAGAAATGTCTTACCATCAGGGGTGTGACTTATGGGCTGAGATAGGACCAGACAGGACGAAAAATGCTAGAGGCTGGACGCACAGAAATGGGATGGAGCCAGAGGGTGGCCAACAGACAAGGGAAAAAGATGGGGCAAAAGACGTGAGCTGGGGGGCTGTGCACACCTGAGTCTTGGCTCAGGGCTGACCCTGGCCTGGTGCATTCCAAGGGGTTGGGAGTCTTCTCAGGGGGTGGGGGCTGGAAGTTCTCAGGGCCTTGGAGGAGGCTGCTGACTGGCAGTCGCTGGGCACCATGGCTGTTGGGCCCAAGATGAGCCTGGTACTCTGTCCTAGGCTTGGGAATGGTACCCTCTCCCCCACAGGCCTGCCTGTCAGCTGGACTGCAACCCTTTCCTAAGCCTGCTTGGGAGCCAGGCTGTTCTGCATCACCAGGGGTCCGGCCCTTGGTTATAGGTGAGAATGTGGCCAGGGTAGGGCGGTCAGGCAGTGGTTTGGGGATGTCCAGGACCAGGTGAGCCCGGCCAGGCAGGGTCAACTTGCTGAGTGGTGAGACTCGGAGTGGGGCAGAAGCTTGAGGTTCAGCTGCTAGGCCCAAGTTCTCCCCAACAGAAATACTGCGGGCTATCTTGGCCATAGAACTGGTGGTGGGGCTCTGGAAGGAGCAGGGCTGAGATGGACGTCCATCGGCCTGGGTTAGGGAGCCCAGGCCCTCCTGGGTCTCCATCTCCCGTGAGAGCAGGGGGCCCGATGCAGGTACCTCATCTGCAGAGATGGAGACACAGGTGGTCAGGAAAAGTGCCCGGTATTGCTCAGCCCCAAGGAGGGTAGTTGTCCACTCCAGGACTATGGCAGGCCCACCTTCCCCCAGCACACCTTGCCTTCCGTGCTCCCTGCACTCTGGACCTGAACTCACCAGGCTCCGCACCCTGTGTCATCAGACTGTGCACAGACTGGGCTTTCTGGAGTCCAGCCAAGGGGCTGGCTGTGGCCACTTTCTTGGGGACCCAGCTGCTGTCTGGGTTGTGACGGCGGCGTGGCAGCAGTACGGGGGCTGCCCCATGGGAACCAGAGTTTCCAGAGGATGTTTCCACCTCCAGGGGTGCTCCCAGGGGACTGGCACCACTGCGCCTCAGCTGGTCACCAGATGCCTGTGGCAGCTGCACAGTTCCTGACACCAATGCCAGTCTTGAAGAAGAGGGGGATGGTTCCCTATTGGGAGAAAATATGGGAGAAGGCTCACTGCTCCTCCCATCAAGAGAGTGAACTGCCTGCATAGCACCAGTGAGGGACTAAAAGAGAGGACAGGCACAAAGCCAGAGAGGATCTGGATCAGGCCACTGTCCTCATCTAGGAATGTAAAACACCCCTGGGGAGGGAAGAGGGCAGGGCTGAGTGCTGCCAGAAGCAGAAGCACTCTGAGGTCAGAGTGGGGGGACAAAGCTCCATACCTAAGTGGGGTCAGGGTACCTGAGTGGTGTCAGGGCTCCATACCTGAGTGGGGATGTCTGCACTTGCAAGAGGAATCGTGAAGAGATGCTCCGAGATTCTGTCCTCTCTGGGATCCGCACTGGGGCTCCTGCCAGAGTCCGAGAGACCATAAACTTTTGCAGAAGCCAAGCTCTTGGCCCAGGACCTACCTTCCTGAGATGGAAACCCCAAGGCACACTGCCTACCCCTCCCACTCAGCTGCAGCCTGCAG